TACAACAGACAGCTACATGAAAGTTACTGATAAACGTCCGTATGTTAAAATCCAACACACATAATTTCTCACTAAATTAGCTGAACTGACATTAATGGAGGAATTACAATCAGAAATACGTTGACTAATGCTCAGAAATCCATACACTAATACACACTGAAATTCAACCAGATGCCGCAAGTGAAATAAAAGTAAGAGTTACCTCCCCGTTGAGAAGGTTTATCTGTGTGGCTTATTGTTTGGCTTATTTATTTTATGTCTAATGGGATGTTTAATTAAATCATTAATGCGTGCTGCGGTGATGAACGTGGTGTATATTTTACAACAGAAGTTTGAGTGTGGTTGTATTGGGTCGATGTTTGCAATTAGTTTATCGACACGGTGTTTTCTGTCGGTAGGGATAAACATGGGGTTACAGCAGAGGCGTAGCGAGGGGGGGGGCGGCGGGGGGGGGGGGGGGTACATATGTCCCCGGGCGCCGACCTTAGGGGGCGCCAAAATGGGTTGAAAAAAATTAAAAGCTCATTTTAGCTGCAGTTTTGCGTTATAAATATAAAAATATATGGGGGGGGGCATTAAATTGAAAGTGTGTCCCCAGGCGCCGGGAAGGGTCGCCACGCCTCTGGGTTGCAGGTGGGGGGGGCGGAAATGACGAAACGCCAAGTTTTATTTCTGACGTTTTTTCTTCCGGGAAAGGGGTGCGGGACGACGACACTGGTTAAGGTGTGTATTTTCAATTAAATTATTTTTATTAATTTTCCTGGGGTGGGAGTGACGGGGTAGAAATGTGACGTGGAGTACATTCTGTATTTATTTAAAAAAAAAACACGCTGAAACCATTTTTTTTTGTTTTGTTTTGTTAGAATGATGTTTAAATAAAATGGAATGATGTTTGTGCGAAGTAGAATAATGTTTGTGCGAAGTAGAATAATGTTTGTGCGAAGTAGAATAATGTTTGTGTAAAGTTGATTGTGTTAAGTAGAATGATCTTTGTGTAAAGTTGAATGTCTGTGTGTAGTAGAATGTTTGTTAAAATCAAAAGATGTTTGAGGAAAGTTCAACGAGGTTTGTGTAGAGTACAGGATAAATAAAAATGGTAGTTGCAGTGAGGTTAATGCAATTAGTAATAAAACAGATAGTGTTAGTTACCTCACAAGGTAACTGTCTTTAACTTTTGAGGTAACTAACACTTCCGTTTTATTAATAATTGTAAAATACAATGATGTTTGTGTATAGTTGAATGATGTTTGTGTAAAGTACAATTATGCTTGCATAAACTGTATTAAGCAGCTTAACCTGAACTGATACAAAACTTCCAACGATTAATCCAAGCCTCGTTCCCAAAGTAAAAAAAAAATCCTACAATTTCAAAAAAAAAAAGTTTAAACTTCCTCGTGAACGTATTTTTAATTCAAACACTTTTGGGGGGAAACAAAACAATCCCACCAACCAAATTAGAAAAGTCCTCATACTTTCAATTTGGGGAACATACCCGCAAAACGATGACGTCACGCAGAGAGGGACACACACACACACACACACACACGGTAGCCAGGTAGCTGACCTGGATTTGACAAACGTGTCGGGGTTGGGTTATGAAGAGTTATGAAGAGGTTCCTGTACGTCACATCCGGTGACAATACCGGCTGTGTTGCGGTGAGCACACGCGAGGAGGGGGGGAGGGGTGACATTGATACCTGAGCGGAGGTCAAGGTCGAGTGCAAAGGTGCCAAAATAGTGTTTGTTTGGCGACGACTCTAGATAAGCTCACCCTTTGGCTGGTGTCTGGAAAGTACCTCATTAACAATTCGGGTTCTAAGGACCCACGATAAAACGAAGTTGTTTACGTCATGTGGCTTTGTGAAGCAAGTTAATATTTAAAGCCTGTTTGTGTCGACGTTGGCCTACTGGAAATATATAGGCCTAATCCGTGTTTCTATTTTTTTTTTACTTGTAAAATTTATTTATTTATAAATAATTATTTTAGCGTAAATGAAATAAATTTAATTTTATCTGGAATATTTCTTAAAAATTTAAAAAGCACACAAAAAACTTTTCTGTTTTAGTAGTTTTGGGAACCTACTTTGTGATGTTTGTAAATTATATCCAAAGCGAATTAATCATGAGTTCTACATTTTCCATTAACATTATTCCTTTCTTTTAGATTTTACTCAGTCAAACAACACACAACAAGTTTTGGCTATGACTGGGAACAGAAGCGCAAATATGCGCATATGGCGTAGGTTCTATTTTGTTCCCAGCCCGATAATCTTCTGCTAGGGCGGGTGTCAACAATACGGCTTAAAATAAACTTTAACCACAGGAGAGCTATCTTTTGCCCGTCGAAAACAATATTACAAATCCCAGAAAATGTATTCCTGCATACTGTATAACTATCAACCGATAAATGACTTTAGTATGTTTGTTGTTAGGCCTGAATATCAAATTAGAATCTGGAGGGTAGAGAGAACAATTAGTGTTTTAAATGTCATATATATATATATATATATATATATATATATATATATATATATATATATATATATATATATACAGGGGCGTAGCGGGGGGGGGGGGGGGGTGCGGACCGCACCGGGTGACACCATTTAGGGGGGTGACACCAAGGCAAAAAATAGCAAAATATATAGAGAAAAATTTGAGGGGTGGGTGGATTCTAACCACGACGTACGGCGAAGGCTAGTTTGTCCTATAAGTAACAGCTCGACAATATATCGTGACCGTCTTACTACAGTGACGTAGACTGGTTGGGAAAGGGGGGCTATGTTATGAGATTAGTGTGCAAGCTAATGAAATTGAAATTTTAAACAGCTGAATGTTAGGAACTAGACCAGGAAACTCCTAATGAAAGTTGACAGCGTTTTTTTTTTCGATTTTTACGGCTGTTTATTCCTTAAGCTTAACACTACAGTGAATCATGCATGTGTACATTTAAACATGATGATTATTAACATTTTGTGATGTACTTGAGGTGACAACGTGACTACACTGCGAGGTCACGATAAAGTCACATTAAGCCTTGAAAAAAAAAAGGTCGCTGTGACCGTCATGTCAGCATGATGCAGGGGCGGAACTACAGTGCCGCAGACCCCGCAATGCGGAGGAGCCCAGGCCGTTTAGGGGCCCACAGCCAACCATAATCCATTTTTTTATTGTTAAAAAAATTATTTTCTTGTAAAAAAAAAAAAAAAAAAAAAAAAAAAAAAAAAAAAAAAAAAAAAAAACATCTACTACAGAAGGGTTGTTCTACAGTAGCTAACACACGCTGTTTCGTAAAGGTAAAAAAATGTATAGCTACATGATTTGTAGTGTGAAAGATAGGCAAACGTTCGAACCACTTCCATGACTTATTTCCATTTTTTAAATAGTCAAATATGTGTGCTCTTGGTTAAGAAACTTTTTTTTCCGCACTAAACAAATAAAAAAGCAATTACTTCTTTTAATTATTATTTAAAAAATACATAATAAAGAATGACAGTATAAAAAGGAAATATATTAAAAACTAATAATATAAATACAAAAAAACTTTTAAAAAATAATATATATATATATATATATATATATATATATATATATATATACATACATATATATATATATATATATATATATATATATATATATATATATATATATATATATACACATATATATACAAATATTTATATATATATATATATATATACACATATATATATATATATATATATATATATATATATATATATATATATAGGCATATATATATATATATATATATATATATATATATATATATATATATATATATGGGGCCCAAAATTTTTTTTTTGCGGGGTGGCCCTTTTTTTCTAGTTCCGCCACTGGCATGATGTCAGGGATACAAAGGCCAGTAATGGTCAGAGACGCATTTATAAATGTTAGTTTAGTCCCGCCTAATGGTTTCCTGCTAAAAATTACTGTATACTGCATTCGAACTTTTATGCCCATTAAATTCTTTATTTACATTCTCAAGCCTATGTACCGGTAATTCTACGAGATTTTTAAAAAAATCTAAGCTTACTTCAAACAAGTCGGTAGGCCTATATCTAAACCTGTATTGGCTTTGTTCGAGAGGTTTTAAAGATGGAGAGAAGGGAGTGTTGGAACATCAGATCAACAGATTTAAGAAAGAAGAGAAATTTTAGAGTGAAAGACGTGGATGAAAACTTAAGCTTGCTGTTAATTGTGTATGTTATAAGCGTTAAACTAACGGAGAAGAAGTATTTGTCGGCATCCGTTCCGGCATTACAGTTAATAAAAAATGGAAGAATGAAAGAAAGAATGAAAGGAAGTATAAGTTAAACACAAAAGGGAATTTCCGAAAGTATTTGTAACAGCTAGCTAGCAGATGAATATCAATTGCCAACCGTTGAAAACTTATTGAATAAAGTACAAATCAAATTTTTGTATGGAATTAAATGCATTACTAAACATAAACATTTTAATATTCGAAATGGTTTAAGATATCGTTTCTGTAAGCAAATTAAAACCAAGCTCTATAATTGTCATTATGTCATTGTGTGACCGATCCAACCAATCGCGATGGCTAGATTTAAGTAGGGCCACGCTGACGCAGATATGAGTCGGAGATTCTCAAACACTAAAAATCTTCTCAATTAGCTCCTTATACAGAAACAATCATTCAGTGTAGAAATATGTGGAAAAACATCAGACACATTGGACAAGAAATATAATCTGAGTTTAAATAAGATTTTAAATTCTTAATACAGTCATGTATCACATTCATATCCATATCGTTGATAAGCCTGTGTGATTAATGTCATGATACAATAGTAGATATTTTTTTTTCAAATTCAACAATGCATAACATACATAGGGTATTATAATGGGGCAATTATTGTAGCATATCATTATAACAAAAACCCTAGTGATCAATATTACTGACGAAAACCTTTCTAGGAGAGTAAGGTTGTTAAATATTTAGAACCACTGAAGCAAAAGGGAGTAGCAATGGCCGCTAGAACCGTGGCAATGTCATACCGAGGATAGTTTTTCAAGAACTCGTTTCTATAATTGTTTAACTTAAAGAACAGAATGTGAATGTAAGGTGAGTGGATTAGTCATATACTTAAAATTTATTGGGACTCTAACTCTTTAAAACAATAGATAGAAAGAGAAAATGTTAAAATGTCAGGAAGTGTTATGGCAACAAGAAGATAGTTAGGACGTAGCTGGTGTGCAAATCGAACTGTAAAACGTTGTTTTTTTAAAAAAGTCTTTGCGTGCTAGCATACTAATTCAGTCATGTCTCTGATGTTTTTGTTCTTTTCATGTGGACAACATAAGACTATCAGTTGAATTTAATAGAGAGTTTTACGATTGGCACTCTGTTAAAACAAATGTTTGCGTTTATCAACGTTGTTTAGTCTTCTTCTTGGTTCTTAATTGTAACGTTGGGGCGGGATTTCTTGCAACACAATTCAGTATTGAATGTCAACTTGTTATGGTCCTTATAGACAGCCGACTCCGGTTACAGTCCTGCTTTTCTTTTTGGATCTACTTCCATATCTTCCATCCTAGAACAAACTAACTACAAGTGACCTTCTCTGGCTAGGCTATTACTTCCGGTCTAAACTTAGTAAATTTTTATTTCCTGCGAGTTGCTAAAAGCACATCCAGGGATATTTATAGATATTTTCAACCGTTCCACAATCCTATGCGACAACGCAGCCTTATAACTTCCGGTTACATCAACTAGGACAAAACTGCGGGAGAATTTGTATGAGGCTGCGCAGCTTTTGTATAGGCCTATTCGTCATTTTGTAACTTACCAAATTTTGTTATCGCGGCTATGTCCTCACAGCCTCCAGTCAGAGAAGAAACGGGAGTTGATGTATATGATATCAACTTAACCACCGAGGATGTGCGGAGTGTCTCTATTACTGGAGCACTCGGGAATTATGCTAGCGGTACGAACATTTGCACATGCAAAGTTTAGTCCCTCTATGTTTACATTACAACTTCGATGTTATGGAGTAGGATAGTTATTAAACATGTGACAAATTTACGTAGAATAACGTTCATGTAGAGTAGTGATGATGGTTATCGCGTTACGATGATTAAAGTATTTATATGTGTTAACTGTAGGCCTAATGAGCCTAATGTTTTCATTCAACAATAAGCCAATGAGATAGACGATACATTTTTAGAAAGTATGAAATAATTCCAATAATCTTTGGTTTCAAATTGTGAGATACTTCAGAGTTATATATTTTTCAGTTTGAATTATAACACTACAAGTTTCAGGTTTTAAATCTTAACTTAGTGGACATTTTTGATAGTGTGACTTATGTTTATTTCAATTAAATTACATGATCCGAGTCACTTGCAGTAGTCAACTCATGGAAAGTTTACATCATTTATATCTTGTGATTTTACAGTGCCATATAAACTGACAGAGATGGGTGTAACAGTGAGAAAAAGAAGACCAAACTCAGACAGGGACGATACAAGGCCAACAACTTAAAAATCAGGTTTGGAGCTTTGTTAATTAGGCTTTTTTTTTTCATATTAAAAAAAAAGTGATATTCTGGGAAAAAGAGATACACATATTGTTTCAAAGGATAGTACTTGGGTACCAGTGTAATAAACTCAGGGGGGTTATAGGGTAAATGATAATATCCTAATAATCTAGCACATTAGAAAAGGTATGTTTGAAATGGGTGAATAGCTATCAAGCCTAGCTATCAGCAAAAATAAAATTTGAACAATAATTACAAGCTTAAACATATATGTAAACATTTTCATCAATTTAAAAAGTATTTCCAAGAGTCTGCAATTACTTCTCAAAAATATATTTTAAAATTGTAATATTCTAATAACTTTTTTATGTTTTCAGGTGTGCCTGGAATTTCAAGTAGCCCATTCATTAGATGATAGAATACTTTTGTATCTTTATGTAAATATGTATATCAAGATTAGATGAACGCTCAAATGTGAAAACAGATTTATCACTCCAGTGTTCAGGAAAGTTTTGTTTTCAGTAAGCTGTCATAGTAACACCTATTTAAAGGGATATGATACTCATTTTGTTATCTTAATCAGATACAAAAAATTC